GAAACACTCATTTCCTGCGAGTGAAGATTGCTCCTGTGGGCAAACCTGACGTGTGGGCACCAAAACCAACACCTGTTCCTCCCACGTCCCAGGGTTCCGGGATGGCACGCAGCTCGGACAGGCCACTTCCTCGCGTGGACCCCCCGTCCTGCGTGGCCCCACGTGTCGGCTGCTGTCCCCACGGGAGGAGGAGCAGAGGAGGAGCCCGGGGCCTGGCCGTTGGGTGCGTCTTATCTCAGACACACAGAGGACATGCTGTCCGGAGCCGGGGGAGCGGAGCGGGAAGGAGATGGCTTTGAGAGACAGAGCCCAGGCCAGACCAAGCCCACGCTCTCCAGTCATTTGGGGCTTCGACTGCAGAAGAGGGGGAGGCGGGAGAAAGACAGCAGGAACACAAGGACGAGAAGAAAGGTTGAAAAACAAATTTTTTGAAAGGCAGAGTTACAGGGAAGAGACGGAGATCCGAAGCTGGCAGCCGCAGCCAGGGCTGTGCCAGGCTGAAGCCAGGAGCTCCCCCCGGTCTCCCACGTGGGCGCAGGGACCCAGGCACTGGGGCGTGCTCTGCTGCTTTCCCAGGTGCACTGGCAGGGAGCTGGGTGGAAAGTGGAGCAGCCGGGACTCAAACTGGAGCCCATGTCGAATGCCCACATCACAGATGGTGACTTCACACCCTACCCCACCAACACCTACCCTCATTTCATTCTCTTTAAAGGTGTTTGGTGCAGGGGCACACCAGGCTAAGCCTCCACCTGCAATCCCACAGGGTGCTGGCTCGAGTCCCAGCCGCTCTGTTTTCTACCCAGGGACCTGCTACTGCACCTGGGGATGCGGTGGACGGTCCAAGAGGCCCTGCGTCCACAGGGAGACAGGGACGAAGCTCCTGGCTCCTGGCTGGCCCTGCCTCAGCTGTCGTGGCTATTCAGGGAGTGAGTCAACAGATGGAAAATTTCTCTCTCTTTAACTCTACCTTCTAAATAAATAAAGTAAATCCTCTTGAGAGAGACAGAAGTGAAGTGACCCACTGCATCTGGCTTTCCCTTTAAATTTCCCACTCACACCGCGACGACAGGCGCACAGCTTTCCAAACTTCTGTACAAGGAATACAAGACATAAACCTGCTACTCTCAACTGCACGTCCACCCACTGCACATGCCACGGCCCCGAGGGCACCTGCAGGCAGAGGGAGGGGCAGGCTGGCCCTGGGCAGGGAGGCGAGGGCCAACTCACTTTCCCTCCAGCCTCTGGCCTCGCATCTCTGCAAGGAGACGCCCGAGCAAAGGGTTCACTCCCCGGCACGGTGCAGGGCCAGGCAGGAGGGAGCAGGAGGGCTGCAGGGATGGGCCGGGGTGGACCTGGGAACATGGGGACACGAGAGACAGTACAGAGCGAGCTCAGAGCAGGAGGGCTGCGGGGATGGGCCGGGGTGGACCTGGGAAGACGGGGACACGAGAGACAGTACAGAGCGAGCTCAGAGCAGGAGGGCTGCGGGGATGGGCCGGGGTAGACCTGGGAACATGGGGACACACAGGACAGGACAGAGCGAGCTCAGAGCAGGAGGGCTGCGGGGATGGGCCGGGGTGGACCTGGGAACACGGGGACACACAGGACAGGACAGCATTAGCTCAGACACGGACCAGCTAGATCCTCACAAAGACATCGGCTACTGTAGCAAAGAACAGCTCCTTCACCAAAGGACACCAGTTAAGGAGGACGCCTCCTTGGGTAACGGAGAAAACAGCCTTGCTTCTCTGGCTCACACCAGACACACACCTGTGTGTGAAACCCAAACGATAAAACTTCCTGGATGCAGCGCTGTAGCCTGGCGGAGCAGGAGTGCTTTTTGGGACACAGAGAGCACAACGTCGGGGGCGGAGGAGGGGGAATCGGGTCGCACCCAAACAGGCACCTGCTCTCTGGAACGGGTGGCGGGCCGCACAGGAAGCCCACCTCGCTGGCTCTGGCTCCTGACTTCCTGCTAATAAGGATGCCAGCAGCAACTGGCCTGCCCCTCCAGGGAGACCAGACGAGCTCCTGACTCCCGGGTTCTGTCCAGTCAAGTTCCACGTGGGGGAACCAGCTTGCCCTCTCCCCGGCTTTCTGCTCTCAACCAATACATGGTTTTACAAAAACAAAGCAAGGGAAAAAAATCCTGCTCTTCCAAGAACGAGTGTTGTTTTGTGACCAGGCTGCTTGGCGTCCCATCCAGCTCCCTGCCTGTGGCCTGGGAAAGCAGTCGAGGACGGCCCAAAGCCTTGGGACCCTGCACCCGCGTGGGAGACCTGGAAGGGGCTTCTCGCTTTAGACTGGCTGAGCTCTAGCTGTAACAAATACCTGGAAAGTGAAGCATCCATCCATTTCTCTCTCTCTTTCTCCCTCCCTGGGCTTCTTTCTACCTTTCAGGTAAACATGAATAAATAAGTGGACCCAGCGGTGTGGCCTAGCGGCTAAAGTCCTCGCCTTGAATGCGCCAGAATCCCATGTGGGCGCCAGTTCTAATCCCGGCGGCCCCGCTTCCCACCCAGCTCCCTGCTTGTGGCCTGGGAAAGCAGTGTGGGACATTCCAAGGCCTTGGGACCCTGCACCCGCGTGGGAGACCTGGCAGAGGCTCCTGATTCCTAGCTTCGGATCAGCTCGGCTCCGGCCGTTGCAGCTGTTTAGGGAGTGAGTCAGTGGACAGAAGATCTTCTCTGTTTGTCCTCTTCTCTGCATATCTGACTTTCCAATGAAAATAAATAAATAAACAAATCTTTAAATAAATAAATAATTCTTTAAAAATACATAATGGTGGGGGCAGGCAGGCAGTGTAACGGCTCAACTGGATAATCCTCCACTTCCAAATATGGCATCCCATATGGGTACCAGTTCGTGTCCCAGCAGCTCCACTTCCCATCCAGCTCTCTGCCTGTGGCCTGGGAAAGCAGTCGAGGACGGCCCAAAGCCTTGGGACCCTGCATCTGCGTGGGAGACCCAGAGGAGGTTCCTGGTTCCCGGTTTCGGATTGGGACAGCACCGGCCGTTGCGCTCACTTGGGGAGTGAATCATTGGCCAGAAGATCTTCCTCTCTGTCTCTCCTCCTCTCTTTCTCTGTATGTCTGACTTTGCAATAAAAATTAAATAAATCTTTTTTAAAAAGAATATATAACTAAAAAAATTTAAATGGAATAAAAATGCACTTGTCTTTTGCATAGCACTGCAAGCTGAGAAATGGTGAATGGTGAATTGCACACATTTTACCATAAAAAAGATAATTTATATATTTTAAAAAAAAAAAAGCTACCTGGAGTCTGTTGTGATACAGTAGGCTAAACTCTTGTTGCAAACAGAGACAGATCTTCCGTGCCCTGGTTCACTCCCCAGTGGCTGCATTGGCCAGGCTGGGCTGTTTCAAACCGAGAAGCCTAAGGCTGTAGCCAAGTTTCCCACGTGGACGCAGGGGCCCAAGCCCTTGGGGGAATAAGCCAGCAAATCTCTGAAATGCAGTTAAATATGGTTAAGACTATTTAATGACAAACAATAAAGAAGAACGGCACAGCCAGCTCTGTTTGCACCTGGCATGCCAGCATCCCGTGCAGGAATAGCTGGGGTGCCCCATCCTGACGGCCTGGATAAGCGGCAGCAATGACCCCGGAGGCCAGGCCCTGCCACCCCGGGGGTCCCAGATGGAAATCTGGCTCCTGGCTCAGGACTCAGCCCCAGCTGCTGCCTCCAGGGTGGGGTGGGGGCTCCAGAGGATGGAGCTTTGTCTCTCTCTGCCTTTGAAACAAATAAAGAAATCTTGCAAAGGAGAAAAAAGGGGGCAAGAAAGAGAAAAAGAAACAGAGGCGGGCAAAGAGGAAGAGCAGGGTTGAGGAAGGAAGATGCGGAGGAAGGCAGTGGCCCAGCTTCCTCGTGGATGGAGCCAGGGACCCACACCCGCGAAGCTCAGATCCCCAGGCCCCACGCCACCCGGCGTCCATCCCCTGAGGACCAGATGCAGGGCAATGACGCCCACCGTATCCCCTCCTCTCAAGGCGAACAGGGGCACGTGTGGGGCACTGGCGGCCTCTGGCGGCAGGAAGTGGAATGACGTGGTCCAAAGCAGGGCAGGGGAAAGTGGCACCCAGAGGGCCTGGCCCCCTTCCACAGAAGCCATCTTCTGGCCCACCTGCCAGCAGCCGCAGGACCGCTTTGGCCACCAGTGGTGCCCGGGCTCCTGCAGGACCCCCATCCAACAAGCTACCCTCCTGCTCAGGAACACTGAGGCTGGGGAGAGTACCCACTGTGTCTACACGGAGAGCCCAGGAGACCAGCTCCCAGGACCTGACCGGAGGCAGGTCCCCATCCTACAGGGTGAGAGAGTGGGGGCAGCCACAGCCCGCACGCACACAAACACTGCGTGAGGCAGTGGCTGCAGGCAGCGCTGGCTGCCTTCCTCTGTTTAATGGCCAGTGCGGTACAGTCAGTGGACGCACAGGTGGACGGACACGGTGGCGCGGGGATGGAGGAGGGAGGTAGCCCCTTGTTCCCATGGCTTTGCTACGGGCTGGGGACTGGGGAAAAGAGGGGAGCTACTGTGTAGACCCCAGTGGGTTGCCGGAATCCAGGAGCACGGGCGGGGAGGAGCCTAGAACACACGGCTGGAGACCGCCCCTCTTCTCTCCAGGGACCTCTTACAGCCAGAGGGGTCCCTGGTGAGGAGGAGCTGGGGCCAGCCGCACCTACACTGGCTGCCTGCCCTGGATGTGTGATGGGGGTCGCACGGGGCACACAAACAAGGCAGACGCCGGGGTGGGGTCCCGTGACATGGGACAGCCCACAGAGCAGACAGAGCGGAACAGACGGGAGCCAGATGCACAGCTGGCTGGGGCCTGGGCTGTGCACGCCTCCAGGCCAGGCTGGCCGGCCAGGCCCAGCGAGGCGGCCTCCTGGGCACAGGAGGAGGGCTGGGGTCCCACAGGCACTGCAGGCGAGGGGCGGGAGGGGCAGGAATTGGGTCGCGCGGGGTGGGGGTGGCCTCCAGCTCAGAGACCAGGGGAGCCAGAACTGTTGGTGGCGGTGTGGAAGCAGCTGCTGGGGGCGTCCCTGGTGAGGCTGTAGGTGCAGTAAGCCACCGCTGAGCCCAGCGTCAGCCCCGACATATAGGACACGGTCATGGTGTTCCCTGCAAACGAGACCCACTGAGGGGCAGGGCAGAGCGAGGCAGGACCCGAGGACCCATCCGCTGGGCCGTGACAGCTGCCGGCTCCCCACCCTCAGCCCCGGCCCGATGACCTCTCGGGGCCTCATCTGTTTTTGGGGTCTTTCTGCTTCCAGAGGCGGTGGCCAGGGAAGCCCTGAGCTCCCATTTTCACCTCCCGTCTGAAGCCACCTGCAGGGCCTGCCTAGGTGCACACCGACTCGTCCTGCCAGCCACCCCTTTCCCAGCACCTGCTCCCAGCTCCAAGCTGCTCCCACCAACAATGGGTTCCAAGCCACACCTGCTTGTCACACCTGCGACAGGCCCAAGGCAGAAGGTCCCCACACGTTACATCATCTTCCTGGAGCTGGCTGGACCCCAGGCCCCAGCGCGCACAAGCGCACGTGACTGTCTGCCCAACCCGGCCTTACCTGCCAGCTCTCGCTGCCGCGGGCTCACTCTGCCCGCAGCCAGGATCATGGGCGCGCTGCCGAAGTAGCCGTTGCTGACTCCCATCAGCAGGGAGAAGATGCAGGGCCAGGCAGGGTGGCGTAGGGCGGGTGCGCCACTGGGATACACGCACAGGATGAAGAGCGGGATGAAGACCACGCGAAGGCAGGAGCAGGCCAGCAGGTGCGTGCCTCGCCAGTCCACGGGCAGCGCCGCCAGGATCTGCCGGAGGACAGGGCTCCTGTGAGCTCATGTGCAGCGTCCCTGCCTCCCTGGCAGCCTCCGGAGCTCACCGTCCTGGGGGCAGCAGCGTCACCCCCAGGCCCGCGCCACACCCTGCACAGGGCGCACCGCCCCAGGGGCAGCACCGTCACCCCCAGGCCCGCCACACCCCGCGCAGGGCGCAGTCACCCCCAGGCCCGCCACACCCCGCGCAAGGCGCACCTCCCTGGGGGCAGCAGCGTCACCCCCAAGCCCGCGCCACACCCGGCGCAGGGCGCACCGCCCCAGGGGCAGCAGCGTCACCCCCAGGCCCGCGCCACACCCCGCGCAGGGCACAGTCACCCCCAGGCCCGCGCCACACCCCGCGCAGGACGCAGTCACCCCCAGGCCCGCGCAGGGCGCAGTCACCCCCAGGCCCGCGCCACACCCCGCGCAGGGCGCAGTCACGCCCAGGCCCGCGCCACACCCCGTGCAGGGCGCACCGCCCCGGGGGCAGCACCGTCACCCCCAGGCCCGCGCCACACCCCGAGCAGGGCGCAGTCACCCCCAGGCCCGCGCAGGGCGCAGTCACCCCCAGGCCCGTGCCACACCCCGCGCAGGGCGCAGTCACCCCCAGGCCCGTGCCACACCCCGCGCAGGGCGCAGTCACCCCCAGGCCCGCCACACCCCGCGCAGGGCGCACCGCCCCGGGGGCAGCAGCGTCACCCCCAAGCCCGCGCCACACCCCGCACAGGGCGCATCGCCCCAGGGGCAGCAGCGTCACCCCCAGGCCCGCGCCACACCCCGCGCAGGGCGCACCTTGCCCACGAAGTCCGAGAGGTTGAAGATGGCCATAAGGAGAATGGGCAGCCACTCGCCCAGGACACAGTGGCGGATCTCTGACTCGAGCCCGGGGAAGAGGCACAGCGTGATGAGGTAGGTGACAGCAATGGACAGCATGTCGGCCCAGATCACGCGCGCCACCACGTAGCGGTGCAGCAGCAGGGCTGCGGGGCGGGAGGACAGGGTCAGGGCATGGAGCTGGCCGGGTCTGGGGGAAGGGGTCGGGGGTGGGACTAGACAGGGTCACGGGGACAGCTGGTAGGGGTCCGGAGCAGGTGCAGGTTGGTCAGTGTCAGGTGGGGGAGTTAGGAAGGGGCAGTCAGGGGCAGGGGCGGGGCCTGACGGGAGTGGGGGATGGAGCCATTGGGGACAGGGATGGGTCCTGATGCAGGGGGAGGGGAGTCAGGGGTAGGAGCCAGTCGAGGTGGGCTGCGGGGGACAGGTTAGGGGTGGGGCTGAGGGGACACCCTCACCTCGGAAGGTGGGCCAGCTCCGCTTGGCTCTCGGCCGAGGAACATCAAAGCGCACATAGGCCCCGCCCCCACCGCCGCCCGTCACCTCGTGGGCCGGGCTGTCCTTTGGGGATCCACCGCTGGCCAACACTGGGGCCTGGTGCTCCTAGGGGGGTGGGGAGATGGGGTAGGTTGGGCCTGAGCGGCGGGGACAGAGAGGGGACACGTGGCTGACTGCAGGAGGAACGGACACCTCCTCTCACCGCCCTGGAGTCTCTCAGATTTCCAACCCAAGCCTGGGGACCTCCACCCGCAAACACACCCCGCCTCGAGGCTCAGTGAGACACCTGCCAGCCCCGCATGCCATGCAGCCCTGCCTCCACCAGAGGAGCGCCTCCAGCAGGGGACCCCCAGGACCACCGCGCGGGGACCGGTGCGCGCGACGGGGGCCTTACGAAGCGCACGTCCCCCGCGGCGACGTCGTGGTGCACTCGGTAGCCGGCGGCGCCCAGGCCGGCCCGGCCGCTGTCACGCGGCCGTGTGGTGTAGTAGAGCACGAAGCGGCTGCGACGCACCAGCAGATGCAGCAGGAAGCAGAGCAGCTCCAGGCCCACGGAGACCAGGAAGAAGATGAGCGTGCTGGCGCGCTCGTCCGGGAGCAGCAACTTGGTGAGGATGCGGCTCAGCGAGATCATCACGCCCGCAGTGCCTGGCGGCCGAGGGGGCCCCCACCGTGAGGGCCCGGTGCAGCGGCCCAGGCGCCCAGAGCTGCTCACACCGCTGACCCTCCCTACGCCGCTGCCTGCAGGCGTGCGCGCACATGCATTTATCTAACACCTACTGCGTGCCTGCGACTGCACACAGGCCCTGGCTTCCTGAAGCCACTGTCCCAGCGCCACATGCAAGCGGTAGGTGTCGGGGAGACACCTGCGATGAGCCTGCAGGACACGGGCTGAGACTCGGTGAGAGGAGGCTGGCACTCCGTGAGCCCACTACAGGATGGGGAAGGAAAAGGTGCGGCTGTGGGCTGTTCTCAGCTTGATGGAGAACCACTGGGCAGTGCCAGGTGGAGGTGGCCATGGGCAGGTTCAGGGGGTGGGGAAGGGGGGCCTTCGTGGCCTGCACCTAGTCCGCTCAGAGAAGCAGGGGAGGGGCTTCACAGCACACCCCACCCTGCTCCAGCATGCTCGGGGTCAGGACCCACGCTGGCCACCAGTGCCAGGACATTAGCCACACCCTCACACCCACTCCAGCAACACGGCACTTGCACACGCATGTGCTCACACGACCCTCCTGGGTGGGAGACGTCCCCCACACACCAGCCCCACGCGCCCTCCCCCACCAGGCGCACCCACAGGGGCGGGGCCCCAGTACTCACTCTCGCCCGTCATCACCCCCTGCGTGTACCTCTTGGGCAGCAGCCCCGTGTACCCGTAGAAGCTGGATTGCTGCACTTGAAGGAGAGAGGGCACCCGTGAGACATCCCTGGTCACCCCACACGCAGCTCGGGCGCCCCCAGCCCCAGGGGAGCGCCTCAGGGGCGACAGGGTCACTGCCGAGCTCAGGCCAGTGCAAGCTGTTACATCCAGGGGAGGCGGCTGGAACTGCAGCCGCACCCGCAGGGACGGACGAGGCCACGGATCACAGTGCAGTGGACAGGAGGGACAGCCGAGCCCATCACCCCAGCCAGACATGCAGCCAAACTGGGAGAGCCCTCTTCTCTTTTCAATAAACATTGTGGGACTGGGTCAGGCTGGGAGGTCAGCTAGGCCTCCCCGGGGGGTGGATGCAGGGGCCCACGCACTTAGGCCGTCTTCTGCTGCTTTCCCAGGTGCCTTAGCAGGGAGCTGGATGGGAAGTGGAGCAGCTGGGACTCAAACCAGTACCATATGGGATGCTGGGGCTGCAGATAGAGGCTTAACCCGGTACACTGCAACACCAGCCCCATAAATAAATTCTTTAAAAATATTTACATTGGAAGGTCAGTGGTCAAGAGAATAGTGACAGGAGACACACAGCTGCAGTTTAGCGTGACTTTGGAGGCCAGTTCCCACCAGCCCAGGCCACTGCCTCTGCACCTGTGTGGCCACAGTGCGTGCCCCTGACACTGTGCGGACCAGTGTGCAAGCATGAGACATTTGAGCATGTGCACCCGTGGGGTATGCCTGCTGCGAGCCGGCTGCCAGTGCCAGAGCAGGCTGCGGGGGCACACTGTGTGCCTGGGACCCTCGGAGTCCAGCCGGCCCTGGCCCAGTCCCTACCTGTGCAGCCGAAGGCCACGGTGCCCACAGCAGCCAGGTTGATGGCATAAGCCTGGCCATGAGAGAAGAGCTGCAGCCACACGTCGCAGACGCTGATAAAGAGCAGGGGGCCCACGGCCAGGAGGTAGCCTGCAGAGGGAGACGCGGGCCATGGCTTCTGGGCTAGGAGGCTGTGGGGCACGGGATGGCAGCACGGTTGGGACAGCTGACCATAGCTAGCCCACGAGGGGCATGGCAGAGGGCAGTGTGGGGTGTGGCAGCTGGCCGTGGCTGGGCCACAAGAGGCGTGACCAGGGCATGTGGGTGTGGCATCTGGGCATGGCTGGACCACAAGGGGCATGACTGAAGGGGACAGTGTGGGTGTGGCAGCTGGGTGTGGCTGGACCATGAGGGGTATGGTTAGACCACAAGGAGCACGACTGAAGGGGACAGTTGGGTGTGGTTGGGCCACGAGGAGCGTGGTTGGACCACGAGGGGCGTGGCCGGGTGTGTAGGTGTGGCAGTGGGTGTGGCTGGCCACAAGGGGTGTGGTTGGACCACAGGGGTGTGGCTAGGGTGTGTGTGGCAGTGGGCGTGGTTGGACCACAAGGGCATGGCCGGGTTGTGGGTGTGGGCGTGGCTAGGCCACGAGGGGCGTGGTTGGACCACAAGGGGCGTGGCCGGATATGTGGGTGTGGCCGTGGGTGTGGTTGGACCACAAGGGGCATTGCCCGGGTGTGTGTGGGGGTATGGGCGTGGCTAGGCCACGAGGGGCGTGGCCGGGTATGTGGGTGTGGCAGCTGGCCGTGGCTGGGCCACCAGGGGCACGGATCCGGCTGTGGCTAGGACAGGTGCGTACCCGCTGCAATCCTCGTGTGCATTGTCAGCCGCTCCACCAGCACGTTGTTCAGAAGCACAGCTACCAGCGCCACCAGGATGTAGGTGAGGCTCATGTCGAACACAATGGAGGTCCCTGTAGGGGTGTTCGTGGGGAGGGCGACAGTGGCATTGGGATGGCCCCTCCCCGGGCACCCCTCTCTGCAGGGTGGGAGCGGTGAGGGGCGCACCTGGGTACTTGTGGTGCAGGTAGTCCACGTCCGTGATGAAGCTGTTGTAGGGCAGCAGGAAGCCCACGCCGGCCAGCAGCATGGCGAAGTAAATGGCGTGGTAGCGGTCGTCCGGCACCGGCTCCTCCACGGCTAAACCCAAAGACATGCTCAGAGCTGCAGCCACTGACCCCGTGACCCACGGCGTGCCCAGGCCACAGTCAGCAGAGCCACCATTGAAAACAATCACACACATCAGCCACCAGCACGGCCAGCACTGCCACAGCCACTGCTGGCTCTGCAGCTGGCATCACTGTGGTCACTGCCCATCACCCTGGCCAATGTCTACCACCTCGAGGCCACCAGCCAGCACCACGGCACCACCTCCGGCCACCAGGCACTGCCACGGAACGTCCACCCCCTGGCCAGTGTCACCGTAACTTACAGCAATCACAGCCCCACAGCAGCGGACCGTACAGGGCAGGGACAGGCCTCATGACAACTCCTGGGGCCGGGGCTTCTGCAGCGACGGCTCTGGCCCCACTGCAGGGATGAGGGAAGTGTGTGGCGTGTCCCATGGTCCCATGGTCCCAAAGGGAGGCAGGAACGACTTGGAGATAGGATTTCCCCAGTCCCTCAAGCCCCAAGCAGCAGCCAAGAAGGAGGGGCAGGGGCCTGCTCCCCGGGAGTCAGAGTGTGGTATGTGGGGCTCCCCGGGGACCCCTGCAGGTCCTCGGATGACACCCAGTACCTATGGCTCAAGTTGGGGAAGGGGTGGGTGCTGAGCCTGCTGGCAAGACCCTGTATCCCACAGCCAGGTGCCTGGGGTCTGGTCCAAGGTCCGTGTCCTGCCGGTGGTGTGGGAGGCAACAGTGATGGCTCAGGTGACAGGCCCCTGCCGCCCACGTGGGAGCCCCCCCAGCTCTGGCCAGCTCAGGCCTGGCTGTTTCAGGGAGGGAAGTGGCAGATGGAAATGCTTGCTCGCTCTCTCTCTTCTCTGCATCTCTAACAGGCAATAAGGGAATGGAGACCAGCTCACTGTAGCTAAGACGACAGCAGCCCTGTCAGGAGTGGAGCTTCAGTGAGCTCTGCAGGTGGACATGCGGGCAGCTGAGAGCACGCGGCAGCCACAGTCACAAGGGGCCGAGCCGTTACAAGCACGAGGGGACTACATGACACTCGGGGAGGAAGGAAATTCAAAGATAAGCTGATAATTTGTGACCCTTAGCTGGTAAGGGTTGCTTGCAAAACTCATGAAAAATGCTTATGATAAAAAAAAAAAAAAAGCTGCATGTGGGTTATTTCTGTACCAAAATAAGCTTGCTTTTGAACTTTGTCTTTCTATGAATGTTTTCCAAGTACCCTTGTTCGTAGTTCTGTTTTGATGTGGACATGCATGTGTGTGTATGTGAGAGGGAGACAGCTCTCAAGAGCCTGGGCTGAGCCAGAAGCTACAAACTCCATCAGCGTCGGCCACGTGGCTGGCAGGGCCCAGGCCAGCACCCACTGCCTCCCAGGCCACAGGAGAGGGTTGGCAGCAGACACGCTGGGACCCAAAGCCAAGCTCAGACATAAGGGGTAGGTGTCTCAGGAAGCAGCCAGAGCCCTTGTCCCTCGGATGTGTGGGCCAGCAGAGCAGGCACAGCCGATTCCCCCGCCGCCATGGAGACGGGGATGTGCGGGGGGGCCTGCAGGGGACAACCCTTCCTCGGGGACTTGGAGGAAGTTGAAGGGACCACAACCCCCAGCCTTCAGAGCCTTGGATGCCCAGCAGCCCCTCTCAGCCACACTGCCTGCCTAGCTGGTTGAGGGCACAGGCTGGCAGGAGGGTCTGGGCCTGCCTTGGTGGCCCTTGCTCTGGTCTGTCCCCTTTGCTGCATTGTCGCTTTCCCTCCCAGCCCCGCCACTAGGGTGCCACCCATCAAAAGCAGCACTGTGCCCCTGGCACTCCAGCACTGGGAGCTGAGCAGGTGCCTGCACCAATGTGTCTATGCCATCTGCGAACACCTCCCTGTCTACCCATCCACCTGCCTGTCTCACACGAGCGCCATGTCTCAGGGTCAGCTGTGGACTGACCTGGCCACTGCCACCTCTCGGGACCAGCAGGTGAGCCTGCAAGCATGGCGACTCATACGAGGGTCCCAGAGCACCGTCCGGTCTACACACTGCATCTCACTTCCTTTGGCTCTGTTTTGGGGGAGGTGCACAAGGCTCTGCAGGTCCTAAGCCCTTGCCCCGAGGTCTTGGCACTCCGCCCCACCCTCCCTCCCTCCAGTTGCTCTCCTGTCCACTTTACTGCCAGGCGCAGCCTGCAGTGGCAGACAAACGTGGCAGTGGTCACAGCAGCTCTCTGAGCCCTGGGTCTCCCTGACCTCCGTAGGACACACAGCCAAGGGTACCCCCTTCCCCCGCCTTCCACCCCGTGCCCTCTAGCAGGGCCAGGCACACCTCTGGCCCACAGCTTCACTCACCAGAGTCCGAGTCGGTGCAAATTGGAACAACCCTGGCCTTGATCCCTGGGCTCTGAGCGACCTTGGGCACGGTGGCCTCCAGCTGGAAACCATCTAAGCCGCAGCCCAAGCCCATGCTCCCGTCCCACGAGCCTGCCATGCAGGGCTCCTGCAAGCGCTGGCTCCGCACGGAGGCCATGGCGGCCGGTGCTGTGGAGAGAGCAGAGCAGGTGCTGGGGGTGGAGGAGGGTGGGACAGGAGGAGGGGACGTTCCAGCCTCCCTGCCTGCCACACTGTGTCCCAGGGGCCACCCCTTCCATCGTTCCCCCCGGCATTTCGGAGCATCAGCTGCTATGATATCACTGGCTGCCAAGAAGGGGCAGACCCCAGGATGCAGCATCATGACCCGCACAAGGGTGGCCGCTATGGGCACCAGGAGAAATGGAAGTCCTCCCTCTCGTCTCACCTCAGTGCTTCTCGCTTCAGCGAAGATGTGCCAGCCTCCCCTTGGGAAACAAGGTGGGGCTGTGTCCCCCACCATGCCAGCAGTCCCCATTCCCCCAGCATGCAGGCAGGGAGGCTGGCAGAGCCCCTAAGCCGTTTGGCAATTGGTGACTGATTATCTAACCCAATAATCAAAGGACCCCTGCTCATTGCAGCAGCTGTGGAGAGGAGACTCCATGGCTGGAGGGTGCCGGCATGGGACCTCAGCCCCAGGGGAGGGGAGCTAGCGGGAGGCTCGGCCAAGAGCTCATCAGGCCCGCACCTGGCCCATCTTCGGGGCCTCCCTCCCGCCAACTCTCTTGCCTCAGTTTACCTTCTTTCCAGGCCCCCCGAGGGCAGCCCCAGCTATGTATTATCTCCCTCTCGCTACCTGTCAACCAAGCTTTGCTTGGGGCCTGGGGAGGTAGGCCTGAGAGCCCCCAGGTCCAGGAAGCAGACACGCTGGGACCTGAACCCAGTCTTAGGAGCTCACGGAAATTCTGTCCTGGCTGGCAGGAGGCTCTCAGGTGGCCAGTACCCCACATGCCGTGAGCAGAGACTGGGGTGGGGGGCTTCCCCTGGGGCCTGGGAAGCCTGAGGGGGATCCCCTCCCAATGGCCCTCCACCTCGGGAGCCGGGATACCACCTGGAGTTCCATTCCAAGTTAGATGGGGACCCTGGGCAAGCTGAACTCGCCCATCACCCAGAACCCAAGGATTGCTAGTGAGGGTCTAGGGCCCTGGTGATCCCCTCAGAGCTCACACTCAGCCCGTCTGGGCCAGCTTCCAGCACCCCCACCTCCCAGGACACAGCTCCCTCAGGTGTGAGCTCGGCCCTAGAGGACACCCAGCCCCAAAAGGCCAGACCGTATCCAGCATGAGCTTCCGGGAAGCTAGGCGCCCGCCCCGAGAGCAGTGTGAGGCCAGTGCGCAGCCAGGGGGCTCCCCCCGCCAGGCCAGTGACGTGGGAGCTGCCACCCACACTGGTGGCCTCAGGGTGGGGAGGGCACTGGTGCGCAGTCCTGTCCCCACCCTTCACCCTCAAGGTTAACAGCCCCAGGGGCAGGCTTCGGATGGCCCCTCCCCACCCGCATCCCCCTTACTGAAAATCCCAGCATATGATCCAGGTCCACCACGACCCCAGCCGGCAGCGGCTAAGCCAGCACAGGACCCTTCTCTGTCCTTGGGGCCACCCTCAGGCTCCCCACCTCAGCTAGGAACAGAGGAAAGAGGGGGAAGGCGTGGCTGCACACAGCAGGTGCTCAGCAGCTGCACCGGCAGCCGCCAAAGGGCACAGCGCTGCCCTGGCAGGAGAATGCTGAACCTTCCCCTTTGCCAGCGGCACGGCCAGGCCAGGTCAGGTCCAAGGTCTCGGGGCGCTCAGACTCCAACACCTGTCTGGGCGCTGGAACCGCAGGTCGGGGCTGGAGCCCACCGCTGGGGCGCATCTGGACCCCAGCCGGCGCGCCCTCCCCGGCAACTCGCACTTGTGTCTGGGCCGCCGGCGCCTAACGGGACGCCCTCGGAGCCCCCTGCCCAGGCCCGGCCCTGCAGCTCCTACAGCAACCGGCGCTGCCTGCCCACCCAATTCCTCCAGTCGGACTGTGGGGGTACCCCGGGGAGTAGCCCCCTGCCACTTCCCAGGGGGCTGGGGAAAGCAGGGGTCGCGAGCTGGACAGGGCCCGGAGGCCGCGCGGCCTGCACTCCCGGGCTCGCCAGCCCTCCCCATCCAGCGGCCATAAAGTTGGGTCCCAGGCCTGCGCCCCCCAAAGCAGAGGTCACAGAGCCGGGAAGAGACCTGGGTCCTCCACCTCCAGAGGCCTTCCCAAGAACCGGGGGAGGCGCGGACAGGGCAGGGGAAGGGTCGAGAGGCACTTCAGCTTCCTTGGGGTGCGCCCAGGAGGAGGTGGCGCGCGGGGGCCCCTGGCGCCTTCCCGCCGGCCAGGTCTGGGTCCGGCGCTCGCTGCCGGGTCGGGGTCCCAGCCGCTCTCGGCCTCGGGACAGAAGGGGTCGGGGCAGGACCGGGGTACGAGGGGCGGCAGGGCGGGGAGGGGGCGCGTGGGCCGCCGCTCCGCAGACAAAGGCTCCGACAGGTCCCCGCCGGCGGCGCCCGCCCCGCCCGCAGCTCCGCGGCCCCGCTTACCTCGGCCCGACCGCGGCCGGGGTCCCCGCCTCGCCGGGCCCCGCGCCGGCGCCCGCGCGCCTCGGGCCGGGCGCGGCCGGCGTCCTCCGCCGGAGCCCGGGACCGCCCGCCCCGGGTCGGCGAGCGCGTGCGGGGGGCGCAGCGGCGGCGGCGAGCACAGCCCCGGCTCCGCTCCGCCCCGCCCAGGCTCCGCCCCCTCCGACACCCCCATCCCCGAGTCCCCCCTCGCCCGGCGGGGGCATGGGGGGCGGCGCGAGGCCCACTCTCCTCGGACCCGCAGACCCGCGCGCATCGGACCCGCCACTGTGGCCGGCTTTGCAGGGTGGGCAGCAGCTGGCGGAGAGGGAGGGCCCTTCAGGCTTGGGGCCGCTGGGAATCAGGAGAGACCACCCGGACCAGGTGCCCCTGTGCTGTCCACCAGACTGACTCCAGCCCACGGCTCTTCACGGACACCAGGACCCAGGTTCGCTGCCTTCTGCTTCCTCCACAGTCTATGGGGGCATCCGGGATACAGAAGGAGCCAAATATTTGCATGAAGTAGGTGCAGATTAACACAGGTGCAGAGTAACCAAGCCTGGCAGTCCAGGGGGCTGGTGGGAAGGGGCCAGGGGAGACAGGGGGTCTCCACATGAAAGCTGTCTCTGGAGCGCTGGCACTGCCGGCCTTGCACAGGCATTGAAGGTGGGGGGGTGATGGCAGAGTGTGACTGGCCGTGGGCAGAGGTGCCTGCGGTCAGGCTGGGCTCTGGGCAGGGAAAGCAGAGGCTGAAGGGGCAGAATGGGGGCTGGGAGGGGAGAGGGCGAAGCTAGGCCCCGATGTCTGAGCCATAGTCAGCCCCCAAGGACCGCAGCGTTACAGAGGAAGGGGCAGGCTTGAGTGCGCACACCCATCTCCCACCTGCTGGCTCACTCGCTCCCCCAGACCACCGCAATGATTAGGACTGCGATTGGGACCTGCCACGGGGGTGCAGGGACCCACGCACTTGGGCCATTCTCTGCTGCTTTTCCCAGGTGCCTGAGCAGGGAGCTGGATGGGAAGTGGAGCCACCAAAGGACTTGAACCAGTGCCCGTATGGGATGCCGGCAACGCAGGCTTAACCTCCTATGCCACAGGCTCTCCCCCTGCTGGGCTGCTGGTGGAATGTAAATTGGACCAACTTCCCTGGAAGTAAGCTGACCTCAAAAACATGCTTACGCTGTGGACCAGAAAATCTCGTCTTTCCAAATATAGAAAGGCCTTTGTGGCAGCTGCGTGCGTGACAACAGCCAAGCACTCGCACAGCTGGAGCCCCAGGGGTGCCTTGGGAATGCCACTCACACTGGCAGGGGGTGGGGGGACGGTGGTGGCCTCCCGTGCGTCACAGTCACACCTGCCCAACCCCCCAGGACCGCAGAACCGTGCACGAATCAGGGCACCAGGGAAGTGGGTCGAAACATCAAAGATGGTTTCTACTGCTTGACAAAAGATCTTGGGGGAAATGGGAGAGAAGGTTCATTGAGTGAAAAAGCTGCTTTCGGGGCCCAGCACCGTAGCCTAATGGCTAAGGTCCTCACCTTGCATGTGCGGGGATCTCATATGAGCACCAGTTCATGTCCTGGCTGCTCCATTTCCCACCCAGCTCCCTGCTTGGGGCCTGGGAAAGCAGTGTGGGACATTCCAAGGCCTTGGGACCCTGCACTCACTGGGGAAGACCAGGAAGAAGCTCCTGGCTTCAGACTGGCTCAGCTTTAGCCAATGCAGACTCGGGGAGTGAACCAGCAGATGGAAGATCTGTCTCTCCTTCTCTCGGTAAATCTGATTTTCAAATAATATATATATTTTTTTTTTAAAAAAAGCTGCTTTTGGGAGAGAGAGCGAACCCTGGGGCCGCCATCCCACACCAGAGTGCTGGTCTGAGTCCTGCCTGCTCCAATTTCGACCGTAGCAGAGTGCTAAGGTGCTTGGCAAGGCCGCAGAGGACAGCCCATGTGCCTGGGCCCCTCACTCCACGTGGGAGACCCACATGGAGTTCCTGGCTCCTGGCTTCAGCCTGGCCCGGCTCTGGCTGTAGCAGCTACGTGGGGAGCAAACCAGCACATGGAAGCTCTCTCTCGCTTTCTTTCGTTGTCACTCTATCAACTAAAATAAACCTTTTCTAAAAAGAGAGGGAAGGAGATCTTAGGGGAGTATAGAATTATTCCTTAGGCAGAACTCCGCCCTGCTTTTAAAGATGAGAGAACCGCAACGCAGCCTGAAACATTGCGGAAACAGGAAAGGAATGAGAAGCGAAGCCTCAGACCCGACAGAGATGAAGCAGACGGGTTCACCTGCGCATCTCAGTGACAAGGTGAAATCCTGGCGGACAAGGTGGATGTGCTGACACTGGGTGGGAAGTCGCCAGTGGGGACCTGCGCCTCCCATGTCGGGGTGCTCCGGCCCCTGCCCCCCGCCACGGGAGACCCCGGTGCAGGTCTAGGTTTTCAGCCGGGGCCAGGTCCCAGGCTTCTGCTAGCACTGGAGAAATGAAGCAGTGGATGGAAAACAGCATAGCTCCTCTCTCTTCTGCAGCAGCAAGAAAATGCAACATTTCCTCCG